CCTTCAGGTAACTGCAACTGGTCATGGTCCACCCAGAGGGCTAATCAGCTGGGTGAATTTTCAGAATCGGGTTGAATTCGGCAAATCCGTAACGAGGCAGTTAGAACGCGTGTTTTCGGTTGTGAAACGGGTAATTCCATTGAAGAATGTGTCCAGCACCAGAAGCTGCGTTGGTTTGGACATGTGTTGCGTATGCCGAACCATCATTTGCCGAAGAAAGTGCTGTTTTTATGCCCAATTCAGAGTGGCGTAAACAGAGAGGTGGCCAACCCTTGACTTGGCAGAGGAGTATGAAGGAGATCACGAAACGCTCGGGTGCTGTCGGTGCTACTCGCCTTCCAGGATGGGGACCGCGTAATCCTCACTGTGCCTGGTTGGTGACGCTGAAAGATGTGACTGCCAACCGATGTCAGCGGCGATCTTGTTGTCAGTTTCTATCCAGATTGCCTGACTGAGCGTCTGGAGATGTTGGGGCAATAGACATCAGTGTGTTATTGGGCACTAAGTCCCTTCCCCGTCCACCTTTTCTCTTTTCTTTACAATAAGGCTTTCAATTAAATCATGGTTGTACGGCAGTGAAGCATCGGTGTTGAGCACTGATGTCATACTGTCGATGATGATGATGATGATGATCATGATGATGATGATGATGATGATGAATTTGTAGCTCTGTAGTATTCATGCACAATTCTAGTTCTTCAAAACACCAACCAAGACAAGAAAATCTACTACTTTCCTCCGAGGATAAAGTCAGCCTTTGTGGAAAAGTCGTGGACTTTCTAGGAACCTAAAGGATGACCAATCTAGACAGAGGAAGTTAAAGTGCGCTTGCTATGGGTTTTCTCGGAAAGTGGTCTCTCCTTTTTCTCCCCTTTAATCAATACTAACGACATGATTACCTATAGATCATCATTAGAGTAAACTGATTACACGCGAAAAGTTGTGCGTAGCGCTACGCACAACTACGCACTGATGATATCACCTCGATTGGTGATGAAACGTTTGCAACCAAATTGCCCAGCTCAGCGAGCAAGCCAACGACCACATATTACTCTCTTTTCTGTGGAAGTTTTAAACTTCCTCAAATGATTCCATCATTTTATCAAGAAGGAATGTTCAAACCTACAAAAATATCCTGTAGGGAGAGCAAAACGCACTCAAGGAATTCTGTTGGTGGCAAGCTAAAGACTACGCTGTGCGTAATGACACAGTTTGAAGGTTTAACTGCCATACTACTCGATGTAAGCTGGAAAGCTGAGATACTGTCAGAATATCTAAGCCTGAGCAGTCGAGACGCTGGGTTCGAGCAAAGGACCTTACGGTCAGTAAATTTGCGCCTCTACCCCAAATTTAAAGGAAGGATAGCGTGACACCCTAATCAGTGGCAACAATAGGAGTTGAGACTTCGTCTAATCAGGCTCTGAGCGCCCATGCTAGTGATAATATTGAAAACAACTATTATGGGGACGCTGATGATCTAGTGACAATGATCACAACGCCCTTGCTGTTTATGTAGCGCATGTGTGTTTGGCTATTTAATCTCCCTTGAACCTGCATCGAAATAGCTTCTGGTCACCTCAACTCTGGATTACTCTGAACTGGTGCGTAGTCCGCTCGACTGTACTAGACAGAAACACCATTTCCCTTCAGATGAAACTGTACTTTCGACGCTCAGTCCATCGAAATGTGTGCTGGTTGGTTAGGAACGAGTGCTTATCAACTGAGATTCTTCCTTTTTGATGACACCCTAAAGACAACGATCCAGCGGTCACTTCATTTCCAACAACTTGATGAGAAAATTTAAGATTATCTCTCTGTGTGTGTCTATATCGATTAACGGCTTTTTAGATATATACTTATTCTGCACCTTAATCTTGATGCTCATGTATGGTGTATTAAATTTAAAAGTTCCTCATCAGTGTCGTTACCCACGCTTTTCACTGCACAGTCGGCGATAATTTTGATGAAGGAGAGCTACTTACTCCAGCGAATGTCACCCTAACTTCTGGTGGACACAATGCGAATTCTTCATAGACAGACCTGCCACTCAACTACAGATGAGAACTCCAAACTGATATGTTTTTCTTTGGATCAATTAACAAACTAAACGACTGTATCGCTACTTACACGCTTCGTTTGTTAGTATGAGTTTTAGCCAGTACGCACACGTTGATTCACTCCTTTCGCATTCTCTTTACTGGTGAGTAGGGAATGTCAAAACAGGAATTTATGAAACTTGCACGCCACGAGCCTCACCTCCAATAACTCCATTCGTGTCAAGTTTGGAAAGCAATCCTTCTGTTTTCATTGAGATGACGCGTTTAGCGTGTAGTCTGTCACTGCTGGATGTTTGCAACAACGCCTGTTTGGGTAGCCGTCCCAGCGAGATGCCAACTTGCCACTCCCACAATCAGCTATCTATACCAGCTACAAACTGTTTGGAAATCTAAAAACCCACCATCAACGAATTTCACAAAGACACTGTCCTGCTCAACTCGACTATTTGTAGGAATTCACACCACTGCTCACGTCATCCTGAAGCCCATAAATTCGTTGTGCATGCCAGATTAAGTAACTACAGTTCTTCTTAATGACCGCACGTATAGGCATCTCTTCACGTGACCAGGGGTGCATCAAGGAGGTTGAGGTAACGTGATTCAGTTGAATGAAGTGTCACGTGATCACATCAACAACTTCGTGTTGGATCAACTACTTGATTTGAGACCAATAAACTCAATGAACAGACAACACAATTGGCTTCGCATGCTCTTTCGTGAAAACAGGAAAGTGAGTTGTCATCACTAGGTGACCCTGAACGCAACAGTTTAACTGTGAATGCGAGGGAACCACAGATCGGTTGAATAAGCGTCTGATGGATCTCATATCGACTGCATCAGTGGTTCTTCATTGAGGCTGGTTTTCGTAAAGTGTGCCGATATGATGAATTCGCCGATAATGCGCAACAAAACGTGACCTAACTTCAAAATGACTCCTTCTTCGGTGAAAAAAACTGGTAAGATTCTGAGCAACCGATGTATCGCTATGTGGATATATAGCGACTTTCTAGGACCTACCTCCGACATGATTTACTGTCGGGTGGGGACAGAGTGGTCGGTACTGCCCTGTGTAGTTTTTGAGAAAAAATAAATATATGTACCGTTTTATTTAGTCTTCACCGACTGAGGTATATGGTGTGACGTCTTTCCGAAACAACATTGCTAAGAATTGTTCAAATGATCGTTTCTGGTTCAATTTGAAGATGAGCATCTTTGGACAAATGCCTCAAATCAGTGAACCCTCTCCTTCAGCAAATTGTTCGCTGTATGTAAAAGGCTACTAGCGGGATATAGCTTTCGCTAGCTTGACTGGCTTGTGAAATAAGTCCAACGATTAGATGGTTACCGTCCTCAAGACATAAGCACGGAGGGGAGAATAAGTTAATCAAATGATATCCGTCTCTATAGACCCAGTATTCTATGCCGTTTTTGGTTTTTCACTTGTGCAGGCAACTAAATTCACTGTGTACATTCTAAGCAAAGATTCCTCACTCAGGTTTTATAAATACATTGTATATTTCCAGAGAACGATTTCACTCTAAGCTCAGCTCTTGTACTTACAGATGAGACAGAGGTTGAGTATAACTTGGGACGAGTGAGTTGATCCTTGCGTCAAGCTACCTACACAATTGAAACCATCTTAACAATGTTTCGCTTTCCAAATACACCCATATGAACCCATCCTCCAGTTATTGCGTTCTGAAGAGAGCAGCATCAAGAGGATATACCTGTTTCGCTAGACTGTCGATAATGAAAGCATATATGTATGACAACCTCTTCTATAGTGCCTCAAACATATTTGTCCCAAATATCTTCACTTCACCGATAAGAGGAGCTGCCAAGAGACACTGATGACGACTTTAGGATATTGGGAAAATCTTTTTTTCTATCTTTATGAAAATACATCTCAATTCAGTTTGTAGAGGGTTCACACTCTCTCGAAAGTCCGAAGGGCAGAAAGGAATGTGAAGCAAGGAGGTATTGTACCGTAATCAGCTCACCGAGACAACATAAGTAGTTCGATTAACAAATGCAAAAAGTATATAAGTTTACACATAATATTTATAGTACATATACATTAATTCATGCTCAGTTCGTAAGGAAACTAGGTCTATAGGACGTGTCCTTGGTTGGAACCATGTGAAAATCTTTCCGTTCATTCATGGTTCGCATTAAGGGGAATGGCCGTGTCGCGCCCGAAGAGTTTTCTTACAGTGATAAGCAGAAGGGACCAGAAAGTTTCATGACCAAACCAGAATGAAAGTTTGCACGGAGTACGCCATTTTGAAAGGTTTTGGAATATCGTATGGTCTTAGTTGCTGAATAGCAATTTGTTCCTCGTAAACATCATTCGAATGCAACTATCTTCTTCTTCGGAGGCAAAAAATGATTTAAAAAATGGTGAAAAAAGCTTACACCAATATGAGTGGGAAACTTGAATCTGTATTATCTTCTTCAGTTCAAAGGTTTATCGCCCTTCGAACAACAGAGTGTGATGGAATATGGTGGACCGGAAGTTTGTTTTGGCTCATTCTCTGGTATGCTTGACGCTGGTGTGGATCAATTTTAGGCAGACACTGAAAGGCTGAAATGGTTGACAGGTGGCGCCAGTCGGATTGCCATGCTTCGCATACCGACCAGTTCCTGGACCCAGATGTCGATGGTGCGCCCAACCAGAATAAAACATCTGGAGTCTAGTCAAATGCCTTCACATGACCATGCTGGCCAATCACTTGACTCCTCACTTTACTCAACCATTATGTAGCTATGAAGTGATTTGCCATTGAGCTGAAGATAGTGTTGGGTCGGAGGACCGAATCATACACTGTCAGTGGTGGAACATGTTGATCGACCAACTTGTGACAAAAGTAAACATAGCGGATCAATGCATTTCACAAATCCTGTGAAAAAATTTAAGAGCTACAGTTTAACTGCTTAAAACGGATGAATGAAATACTTGGAGTTCACCAGCATTTGAAACAGGCACGTGTGAAAAAGTGTAGACACTACTCAGATTTCTCCGAGAAGCCCAGGATTCGGGATGATAGATTTGTTCAAGAGTCCCAAAGTTGGAAGATACCCAAACGGACGTAAGTAGTTCAACTGTCAACAGTATTATATTCCTAACCTCCACCACGTCAGTAAATCCAAGATGGAATCGGTGATTTTTATTCGTTTGAATTATCATACGATTTGCCACACTTCCAAGAATTTCCCTCCCCCCATTTTTTGAACTCTGTAGGTCAAAGACACTAAATTCCGCCATCACTTCGCCGGGAATCAAACAGAATGTGGAATCGAAAACCAAAACCAATGTATCAAGAAGGTCATCGGTGAGTAAAGTGGAATGTTCAACGATTGTTTATGCGCCCCGTGCAAAGTTTGGTTGCAAGACAGTTTACACAGTTGGTACGCAGTTTCTTGTATTCTTCTAAGTTGTCCCCCCTGACACGGATCCTCCTGGGTGGTTCGTATGTTTTATTCATGGTTAGAAACAGTGGAGAGCTGGTAGTGTGAGGAGATTTGGGATTTTTGTGGAGCTTTCGTCCTTTAAGTGAAGCCAATCTATGCTGAAGTCTATGAATCTATGCTGAGAAGTCGTTGCTCGAGGGGCCAGTCAACACGTGTGACCGCGTGATGTGGATCCCGTGACTGAAGGATGAGCGGCGCTAAAACCTAAGTGCGAGTTAATCACACTGCTGATCGGCCGCTCGTGACCGAACGGTTGAGTGTCAAACTACCAGCCAGGAGGTCACGAGTTCAAGACTCTTCGGAGTTTCGTGAGATGCGCACTGCTGATGATTCCCAATAAGGATGCAACAGCTGTACAGTACTTCTCGCCTTTTCAACATAGATTGGCTTCACTTACAGGACGAAATCTCCACAAAAACAGTGGGAAGTGTCTTGTCGCTTTTCGTTCTACGTACGAGATTGTATATATTAGTGAATCTGAAGATTGTGTAGACGTGGAGAGACAAGACCACAGTCAGCTTTGCCTGCAGCTTGAGTCATATGTCTAGGCCTGCACTACCCCGTTGCATTCAATATATTGTTGATGTGCATCAGAAGAGAGGTAGTTATGCCACCTTGTGACGCCATTACACATTTGTTTGTCAGAATACGTCTTCTGCTGATCTATGTTAAACGCATAAACTTGAATGTGCATTGCCTGGATAGTGCGCCACTTTTCAGGGCTAAACTTTAGAAAAAATACTTCATATCTGTTTTCTTGAGACTATGTACCGTTTATGATTATCACCTTCGGCTTCATTACACAGTACAGTAATGATTCCCCACTAAGGGAGATGAAGACATCCGTGTTGGTTATCTGAGCAATAACATTGATGGCTCAGTGTTGAAATGTAATTCTAGCACCGATAACACAGTGTGTTCAAAAAGGATCGGGTTCCTTGTAAACAAAACAAGGTTTCACTCGCCGTGCTCTAACTAACTTGTTGTATTAAGTAAGATGTTTTGCACAATCAGTTTGACTTCATCTGGGTACCATAATCTACATAAGTACTTTCAAAAGCGTAAAGTCTTTATATACTCGCTGATCTTCCCAACTGAAAAAAGAACCTTTGAAAAGTTTTACTTCTCATACCCTACACATTGATGCGTGTTGCAGTAAGCACCTCCAATCCTTATCTACCATCCCCCTAGCATAGCTATCCGGGACCATCAAATGCACGTAACATCTACATGCTCAATCGCTGCCTCGACGACATTGAGCACTTTGGAAGACGACTGAACAAGTGCGTGAAACGGGACAGCACTGACTCGAAGGATATGCTGTGTGAGTTAACGTGAATGAAACCTTTCTGTTTGGTCTCTTATTGTCATTAATCTGGGGTGTTCAGTGGGATAGACAGAGTAGGTAGGACTCCTCAAACCAAAGCAGTGTATATGCTACTCATATAAACCCACGACTACGCATAGGCGACAAAACTCGAGACGAACCACAGCCTCGCTTGTCCAAGTATCAAAACTTTCTAGTAGCCTCATCCAACAATATCCAGTAGGTCTCAAAGGATCCATGGCGCCACTTGACTAGGAAGTCCCGACCCAGAACTGGATGGTCGTTTGGGGCATCGGGTAAACCGATCACACTAATCAAGCATGAACACATTCGATTGTTCGGACGTGCTAATTCTGAAGCGTCCAGGAAGCACTGGTAGAGTAGTGGTAATCGGCCCTCCTTCTATGTAAGAAGTCCAGAGTTCATATTCCGGCACGGCGCAGGATATATACCTCAAATGAGCTCCCACTTCGGTGTGGAATTACCAGAATAAGTTCGCCGGGACGGAAGGACGACTGTTCATACGAGTGATGTTAACGTGAATGTCACTAAAACAAGAATTAAAAAACTCACCTATAAACATTTGAAGCAAATACCGCTCTGTGTAGATCACAAAGAACAGCAATTACACTCCCGATTTCGTTAGCTAGGGAGAAAGTACAAACAATAAAAAGGAGAAAAAGAGATGGTAGAGGAATAATAGTCTGGAATCACGACACACGAGTGGCAGATAGAGGGTTTGTTTTTATCTTGCAGATAAAACGACTGCTTTTCTACTCTTATCCAAGCAAAAATGGAGAAGGCGTGTCACATTGTTGCGAAAAAACGTTCAGCTGTAGCATCCTTAAGGTGCCTAGCTGCCATGCTGAAATACTGCTAGGATGCCCAAGCCTAGACAGGAGGAGTCGAGATGCAGAGGTCGGGTTCGAACAATGTACCCTCCAGTCAGTAAATTGCGCTCTAACCACTTGAGCCACCTGCGTGAAACTGACCTCTGATTCATTTTCCACCTATGCTTTCCCAGATTCTTGGCGAGACGAATCTAAGGCAGTGATACTGCACAACACGCACACAGTTTATGGCTGCTAATGATAATAGTGGTAGCCTATAATGAAACTGACCTCTGATTCATTTTCCACCTGTGCTTTCCCAGATTATCGGCGAAACGAATTTATGGCAGTGATACTGCACAACACCTACACAGCTAATAGAAGAAAATAGTGTCTTTCGCTAAATTCGTAATGCACTGCCCGTAAGGTAGCTGAAACTTCTTCGACAGCCTACGACTGGTTTCGCCCTGCTTCGGGCTCATTAGGTAGGCGCAGTCCCCGAGTTTCCGTCAAAGTTATGTCCTACTTGAAACCAAAATCCCCCAAGACGGGCGACTTCGGTCATGGGCTGCCGAAGAATTTTCAGCAATCTTACAAGTAGTGCGTTACGAAAGTACATCTATCACGATATCTCAAATATCACAGCAACCGAAACATGAGGTGGCCTGGTGCAGCACATTCAGTTGCCTGGAAATATCACAAACGAGATATTCAGCTGGGTTTCGGGTGAATCTCTCGCAAACCAAATTTGTTTGCTAACGATAACTAGGGTTATTGACTGAAGATTCGGTCACTGCGTGTGACCCTTTTTGGAGTGGGATTATCAAAATGACATGTAATAGAAACGAGGCCGAGTTAGGAGTTGCAGTCACGAGGACGCTGTTTGATCGGCCACACAATCACTGTGTGGTCTGATTTTTAAGTCAGCATACCGCATTCCCGGTTGTTTTGATTAGCTTTGGTAGTATGGGAAGATGTGACAATGTTCAGCGATGATTTCCTCAAGTCAGTGGAGCCAATCTGTGCTGAACAGCCGATAAACTGTTGTACAACCCCGATTGGAAGTCGTCAGTACTGCGCGTCTCAGGAGAACTAAGAGGTTTGAACCCGCAATCTTTCATCTAGTCGTTCAGACACTTAACCGTTCGGCAACCAGCGGCTGATCAGCATTGTGATTCGAAACTTCCTACCCCCTAATGGAGTGTCTTCAGCTGCGCACTGCCGAATAGGCCTATATCTTGGGACCTTACTTATGAAAAAAGTTATTTTAAGGAATGAACCGGATTCCAACTTTAAGAGGGTGGTCATTCTTATCAATTGTGCGAAACCTTTGAAATAAAACTAGCCGCCCCGGTCTGAGTTGGCTGATATACTTATCTGATATTCAAATCCCTCTGTGGGCGACAAATTCCGGTGAAAAAATCTCATCAGGCAAGTAGTACTTTTATGGATGGCTTCCTGTACCCAAGTGCACATATATATGTCCGGTTTAGCCTAACAAATCTTTAAATTTGTGTAGGTGTCAAGTTAAATTTCAACCTCCAACCCGACATCCGAGAACCATGTCCCCCCCTCCCCCGAGAAAAAAACGGCGCATATAGTGACATGTCGTAACATGATTAAACCGTCTTCATCTGCAGTGGCAAATCAACGTGATGCCACAACACGCTGTGACCATAGCTGAGACTCCAGGATCTCCGCCTCTCATACTACAGACTAATATCCTACCATCATACTAGGCATGCCTCGTCCTCCCAGAACTGCCTCCTATACAGGGCGATCAGCCCCTAAATGGTTATCAGAACTTACTGAAATGCTACTTCCCCAACTCTTGTGCTTTCCGAAAGTTTTCGCCCAATGGAGTTCAGTTCTCCGATAACTGGTAGTGGATCTATACCTCGTGGTAAGTACATCACTTTCTATTTGTCGTCAGCTTCAAACGGGCCACTCTGCCGGCCTCTCCCGAGAAAGGACAGTTTGATATGCGCACACGAGATCGTAAAGTTACTTACACGGCAAATGCCATCCACAGCAGCTAAGCCCTTCGTGGGAATTATCCACAGTGCGCGGTTCACCAGCTAATGCAGGACCGCCATTGACTGCGTGATAGCCATATCTGCCGCGGGTAGTAATCACTGGTTTATTTTGGTCTATATTATCCCGAGGTCCCCATCCGGGAATACGGCGTTTATCAATGCGAGTGAGTTGACTGGGTGGGTGCTTTCACGCTTCGTTACCAACTCATTGACTGACTGTCTCTCGGTCGTCTTTGTTCAGTAGAAGGCTGGCCGCATAGGGTAGTACGAGGCAAATGCTCCTCGGGTATTTGAAGCACATGGCCTAAATAGCTTAACCATTTGATATATCGGTGAAGAATGAAGTTTCTCGATAACCTTCTGGCGTGCATAAACAATACTGATCTGTTGTTCCAACCTGACTCACGCGAGTCTTCGGAGGCACCTAGGCTTGAACAAGAAGAAATTTTGAAGGTCTTCCATAGGCACTGGCCAAGTCTTTGATCCATAAAGCAGGACAAATCAGATCGCTGCATTGCACACTACCCTTGACAGTCAGGCTGATGTCAAGTAGACACCACAAATGTCAAACGTTGGCAAATGCTATTCCGGCCTTCTCAACTCGCCAGTTCTTCGGGACTTGTGAAGCTGTCCAGATAGATGAACCTATCTACTACATCGATCGGTTTGTCTGTGATCATGAGATTTGGGTTTGATCTCATCCAGTCTTGTAACAGTGCTTTACAAGTGCAAAGTGCATACCGAAGTATGCAGCAGACCTACTTAGGTTATTTAAAATAGTTGATTTTCTGAGATCTGATCAAAGAATAGCAATACCGTTGGCATTCCCAGTACCCATGAGCGGACACCCATGAGGGTATTTAGCCAACGATACTCATCACTGGTCACGAAGTAGAATCCTGAAACAGAGTCATTACTCGATTATTGCTGAACTCACTTTCGCCACGATGGAAAGACTCAAACAAGAATCTCTGTCGTTCAAAGGTACCGTTCTAGCGGGCTGTTTGGAACGTTGGTTTTGTACCATGGCATAAGTTTCGTAAAGTGATGTAAAGTACAGTATAGTGTAGTATGGTATAGTATATTATATTATAGTATAGTATAGTGTGGTATAGTATAGTGTAGTATAGCATAGTATAGTGTAGTTTAGTATTTGAATCCCTTGGGCCTGAAACTCTAACATGAGGTGTAAATTGCAACCTATCTATGGAAGGTAATTTTCAAGAATTAATGAACAATGCTGTTCTCCAAACCATTCATTACACGTTTAAGGCTGCAAAATATTTTATCCTACAAAGCATTCGACGAAACCTCTTTGAAAACGAGATGGAATCATGTATGAAACCGAAAGTGATGTTGAACAACGTATTTCACCAATCCAATGAATCAGTAAGTTTGCTTAGAAGCAACCAACAAAAATCTTGAGGAAAATAAGAGGAGAGTGCTTCGTGAGCTACACTATTGTTTGGCGGACAAGAACGACGGGCTATCGCGTTAAGAGACACAAGTTTCGGAGGTAATATGCTGCTGAGGAGCATATCGTACCCTTGAAGAGGGCTCGTTCTCTCTCCTTCACGACCCATCTGCAGGAAATTATACTTCTCAGGAACATGGTTAGGTGGAGAAGCATGTAACAGAGTTAGTTTCGTAACTAAGGACGAAAACGCTAAAGTAGTTAGTTAGTTTTATTGTTAGTTAGTTATTTTCATTCGAGAAGTTGGTACACGCATATGATTCGAAGCCCTACGAATGCGAGGATCTGTTGCACTCCCTATATAGGGTTCCATCTTGAGCCTAACTCACCCAGACCAGTTGGAACATTCATTTGGACGAAGAACGCATGCTGCTCACCGCTGATTCCAGTGGGGTGGTTGCCCTTCTCGTAAGAGTAATGAGGCTGGTGATGATGATGATGATGATGATGATGATGATGATGATGATGATGAAGGTTACGAACACTACGCCCTAGCAATAAAGTAATGTGCTACAAAGCATTCATTTATATACAGGGTATCAGCAACCCTCCCGTCTATGATCTGGCCTCACTCGCAACCAGCGAATATAGTCTTGGACTCAGACCCTCGACTCCGGGCAAGCGTTCTGGCAACTGAGCTTTTCTTATCGCTCCTCCGCTTCCTAATTTTGACTCACTTTAATAAAGATGTCAAATTGATGCTTGCGCCAAAAATCCCGTGAAAACGGTGGGATAAAATTTTTTACGAATTCCTCTACTATCAAGTTTTAACCTTTTAGCTCGTAAGTTCACTCTCGAGTTCACGCTTCTTTTTCTGGCAAATCTTTCAGTGCGCATTGAGCCTGTCAATGTCAAACCACCAGGACGCCATGATGCCGTAGAAACCGTTCGAAAAATCAAACTGGCGTTAAACATGGCTCAACTAATTCAGGCCGAAGCACCAGAGGCCATTGAGAAGATTTTCATTCGACTCATCAAGTGTATCGTCTGGTTAGATGACATTAGTCAAAGTCGAATCATCCCTGACTACGAGATGGAAATGATCCAGGATGTGGTCGAGCCATTACTAAGCGAGGCAACCATTGAGGCAATCAAAAGGCGCTTGAATCCAATTCTGACAGAATTCTGGATCAAGTTGGGTGACGCTTGGAACGTATCTGCGTAAGTCCATGTTCTTTTTCCATCTCATTCATGTTCGTTTGCTCGTTAGAACTGAACTAGTCAATTGTAGAACTACTGTCCTGGGAAATGTCAAATCAAGACCTGATGCTTCTCTACTTCTTTGGAAAAGGCAGCGAATTCCTTCAAATCGACTTTGAGATGTAGAAAAAAAACATTCTCCTGTCTTTACCAGGCTAAGCTCCAGAGAACCGAAAACTCACGTTAGCATAAGCCTACTCAACACAAAAATTTCTCCATTGGCTACTCGTTCCGAGTTGCCGTGAAACAAAGTTGTGTTCAGACATAACATACTATTCATGAAGAAACTCCTCAACAGTCCACGAGGAACTTCGCCCTTCTTGGGGTCTGTCAGTTAGGCGTAGTCCACGAGTTTCCGTCAACCTTATGTTCTACTTTCAACATCATACTTACAACATCATAAACGAGAGATTCAGCTGGGTTCCACGTGAGTCTCCTGTCAAAGACAATTGATTTGCAAATGAGTGCATTTCTTGTAAAGTGCTGTTGTTTTGCTACCGTATAACCACGCCAACTTATGGCATCAAGCCGTGTCGTGAAATAAAGAGGGACAGAGGGGATGACCCAGAGCTAGCCAAGCATTCGAGGTACTTGCACCTTCAACTGACAGCAGATCTCACTAAAAATCAAACCCGGAATTTTGGGGGAACAGTACTTCTGTCAACTCGCATAAAACCACCAAAAGTTGGAAACTTGCGTCCAGTGTTGATTTAGCCCCAAGAAGGATGTAACCGATCGTAGGCTGTCGAAGAATTTTCAGCAACCTTGTGCGTAGTTTCCTTTATGAAAATATACTGCGATATCGTACCAACCGAAACTTGAGGCGGCCTAGCGCAGCACATTCAATTGCTTAAAAGCATCACAAACGAGAAACTTAATCAGGTTCCAGGTGAGTCTCCCGCGAAACCAAACTGATTTTCAACAGAGTGTATTTTGCTTGCTTGGTGTTTGTTCACCTTTGGCCTAATCCATAGTACGGTTTGTTGACATAAGGTTCCTGTGAGTTGGCATGTGATCAACTTGCTTAAAATCTAGCATACTATATTTGCGATGGACGAAGGAAGGACTCGGCTCACATTTCTGGTGGAAATCAATATCCTGGACACAAGTGCGATGACTTTCCGCCGAGTACCGGCATTCGTAGCGGAATAGCAATGCAACCACAAGAATGCCAGCGTTACTCACGTACACATTCCTATCCATTGAAATAGCAAATTATTGAACTGGCTGAATTCTGTCCGGTACACAGTCTTAGAAAGCATATGTATTGGATGGTACATTGTGAAATGATCGTCGACTTTACAGATTTTATCAATGCCGCTTTACGTTACGTTGGGATAAACGCTATTCGGCATGGTTAACAGAATATCATCGTTCATATTCGGTCTTGCGTTGTCGTTACGGTTAGTTACTGGTATGAAACTATTTATACTCAGCTAATGCTGTACACAGGATAGTATCGATAAGATTCGACCTGAGAGCACTGTTGGACTACATCTCCACTTAAAAAAACTAACGGGTGACAGAGGTAACTGTTAGGCCTTTAGGTGCAGAGTAGCTGGTGATTTTCAGCGCTCCTATTCCTTGATCGCACTCATTTGGATTTATGCTAGTGCATGCGAAACGTCGAATCCCACTCTTGTCAGTTTTCTTTTAATATCCCAGTATTTTGTGAAGTTCTAGTAATCCAGAAACACCCATCCCTATGGCATCTTTGAACCCGTCCGGTTTCCACCAGTCCTCTCCCCAGTCCGCCATCCTGTAGTGGGTCCACGCTGAACCTTATGGCTTGGCTTCTGTCTAATAAACACAGAGGATTGGGTCATATACATTCCCAGTCCTTTCTTCATGCCATATCTATACAAAGACCACAATACAGGCATCATAAACTCGTACAGTTCTATCCGACAGCTAACAAACAAAGGTACCCATTTGTTCTACTAGCACAGTTAGAAAAAGTGTTGCTCAACAAGTTCATCTGATTTGACGCACAGGAGTGACCGTTAAAATAAGAGGAAGGTCAGGGCCGTCATGTTGCCAAGAAAAGGTTTTCATTTTCATCAGGAATACCAGATCCTTGAAAGTCACCACTGAATGTCTGAAGTCTACCGAGACTCTCAGCGGACAGACAACGCCCCTTCAATATGCAGTGCTCCGTAGACTTGTATCGAACCCAGACAGCGCGAGTCAGCGTTGGTCAAGGTCAGACAACGCCCCCGCAATATGCAGCGCGTCGCAGCCTAGTACCAAAGCCAGACCGCGTACGTCAGCGTCGGACCAAGTTAGACAGTGCGTCTCCATTAAATAGCTTGGGACCGTTGCATTCTCACCTTCGCACTCGCTTGTTCGGAATATGGCTGTTGTGTTCCCTCCTGTGAGTCTTTTTTTCCAGCACTGGGCACTAGAGTGGGTCAGTAGCCAGATACAACAGATTGGAGAATCAGCAATTATAACGATTTCCTTGATGAAAGGGGATATAGGCGTTTGAGAAGTGAAAATACAACCCCCCTCCCCCAACTGGGAGCATCTACTTTGTCTAGGATTGATGAAAATATTCTAACCCCAGTGCCGACAGATTTACATCCGTAACACATCCCTACTCTGTGATCTGAGAGATGAACTAACCAAAGGTCAATAGAAAATGTCAAAATAGATTGAGTGTATCAGAGAAAGTGGGAATCTCCCAGACGTTTCAAGTCATACCACATCCTGTTTTTTTTCACATAGCCATGTGCCAAACCAAGTCAACGCTCAGGAATGGCACAACCACAAGAATCAAGCATTTTCTGTTGGCTCCTGAATTGAGTTTAGACTCCATAAGCCGGAAACTTCATAACCGTGAACATCTAACCTCCTCGTGAGGCAATCGTCGAACCTTCATTATACATCCTACAAACATACTATTACACAAACTGATCCCCGAATTTTCGTCTCCTTTGCAAAGTCGATAGTTGCACGTCGCTATTTCAGCTACACTTCCCACAAATTACCTAGAGTTACGATAACTCTGACCAAATCTATGGTTGTGCATTCCGTTGGAGGTTCCCAACTTCCACATTCGAAATTTGAACTTAGCCGGCTCGGCCTTATTCAAAACAAATACTGATCTTGTTCAAAATGTCACTGATTCGATCTTTGTACTCCCACAGACGTACACCCACACTCCTCTCAAATTTCTCAATTCCTAATTCGCAGGGAACGTTGGCCACATCCAATTGCGACCTACGTACCTCAGTTCAAAACCACACCCAAAAGGAATGTGGTAAGTTTTCAACGAGTTCAACTAGTCGCCTGCGAAAAGTTAAAGAAAGCAGTCCGGATACACGTGGTCTTCGTGAATGGCCCCTCTCAATCGAGCACTGCATCTACCAAATTATTAGTCGTGTGTTTCGTCAAAAAAATATCTTGCCATATCTCGACTATCGTATCATTCGTGCAGCACACCCATTTGAACACTCATTTGAACTCATTATGAACAAGAATTTTAGCTGGGTCTCACTTGACTGTCCTCTATTCAATCCAGTTTAGTTTGCAAAGGTGTATTTCGAAAAGGTGCACAAAATTTTGGCTTAAAGTGAACATGAATGAAACCGACAGATTTCACCCACTTGATAAGCTCCAACAAGGATAAAGTCGGTCGTGAGTTGGCGAACGTCTTCAGCCGCCTTATCGGTGGTGCTTCCAAGAACTGTTAATTTCCACCCCTTGTTGTTCCCAATTGCTTTGGGCCGTCAAATCCCAAACCAGATCACACAGTATCTGCCTAGCCAAGCCAATTTTAAACGCGAAAAAATGCTGGAAACATCAATGCCCCAACTATTCTCTGGAGGTCAGTATGACTAAGCATTTTTGAGCTTTACCTTCAATAAGCATTAAAAATTCTAGCCAATTGAAAATGAGACCGTCAAACGAGACCGGTAGGACGGTATGACACACGAAGTTATTTTTATCATTTCAAAACAGGATGGATATTTATTCCAGTCACTAAAGAAAAAACACCTCCAAAGAAGAATCGACCGGGGGGGGGGGGCTCAAAAATGGAGCCAGCTCCCTGTAGGGGAGGGCGTCTCTAAACCGATCGTTTTGAACCCCATATCGTGCTACCGCTTATACAAACAAAACGAATCTTTTGTTTTGACAAGTTTGTTATCCTGTATGTGCTTGATACGCCACCACATGCCCTCGTACTGTGGAGGGAGGCTACAGGTTAGTGATGTTCGAATACTTTGAGTTACTGCATCTCTTTACCTGCCTTCTGGTCCCCTTCACTCAAATCATTTACGTGACTATCTTGTTTTGATTTATACAACAGTAGTTTTAGTAGTTAAGGTCAACGTCTTGACACGCCCAAAATTCGCCAAATTAGTCCATTTTCATGGTCTATGGAAACGAAACGACGATAAATACAAATTACTGGTTACATGTTAAGAGGTTTTTATACAGCATGAGAACCATACAACCTTCTAGAGTAGTTTGCACCTTCCAGGTTGTTTTTGGCTGATGCAGTGAATGACATCCGGTATGTATGACTATCGGTCTTGAACCTGCTTAGTTGATAAGAGAACGAATCATTTCTACGCTCTGTGGTCAATGAATGCACATAAACTGACAGGAGGTAAATGCGTCTAGCTTCACAATAATAGTTGGTGCGCACCAACCGCCTGCTTCTTACCGATTATCCGGGCAACTTTGTGGGCACAGTGGAATGCCAGTCAGCTGGGCTAAATTTTTTTACGCGGACATTTCGCTTCTCTACGGGATGGCAGGCGTCCATAGTAGATACAGCACCTTTTGGACATTTCTTCAATTACTTTATCTCTTTGACTGAATTCATTCGAAACACCAAATTATTTGAGGCCAGCCACCGAAAAGATGTGGCTAGTTTTTGACTGCTATGACCTGCAGAGACCCTCACTTACAATTGCAGTAGGCTATAATAAACCACAATATAGCATAGGGAATGAGGGGTGCGAGATGGCTCAAATAGTTAGAGCGCAAATCTACTGACCGGAAGGTCCGGGGTTCGGACCCGGCCCCTGCCTCTCGACTTCCTCTTATCTGGGCTTGGGCAACCTGGCAGTACCCCAGCCCTCGCGCTTCCTCTTAGTAGCATGGTAGCTAGTCACCTGAAGGGTGTTACAGCTGTATGATAGGGAATGAGGTTCCATGACTCAAAACAGGAAGGTCTGATATTTTCACCCTGACGGCTTTACGGATTCGAATTCGTTGTTTTCTCAGTCGTCCCTTTCGCTCGTTCTTCCCCGGAAATGTCTTTTGTCTACTGACCAATGAGTGTCGTTAAACAGTCGGCATTATCTAAGTAGATCCGTCAGACGTTGACTCAGTTAAACAACCTATATCCCGTCTTTTAAAATCATGAATTTACCGATTCGAAAATAAGCTGTCCGTTCGAAGCCTTGCTTCTGGCAAATTATCGTTTAACATGCACTGAACCAACCGACCTCAAAATGCCTGATCCAGTCCTAGCTTCCCTTGTTAAGGACACTGAATATCCAGGTCCTTTGGGATGGCAGTATTGATCTTGCATTCGTAATACGGCTAATCTTGCAGTTTGTCGAAATCTTGGTTGCTTGGGTGCGTTTATCGCTTGCTGATCAAATGGCTATTGGTTCGCAAACTGAGGATACGTCATTAATACGCTATTGGTCATAGCCCCTTGCTTGGCGATGAAACAGATGAACTCGGTGAAGTTATCATTAGCCAATTGCTCAACGGCCAAATTCCCAACTTCTGTTGATTTACTATGATTTCGAGCTTACCCTAGTGCTTCTTCAGTTGCCATCCTCTGGAGAGACACCTGAACCTACTGGGCTGGAGATGTCTTCCAGCTATACTCTCCTTTAGGATTGGGCAGGCACTAATGATCTCAAGCTTCCATTATTCTTGTCTCCGACCGTAGAGTAATCTATTTCCATTGGTAGCTGAGCAAACGTCTTCCGTGTTGTTCACACCTTGTTACAAGGTTTGATTATTTGCCTATGCATCAAATGGTTTTCACTCAGCGTCTGTGGTATATGGATCCTACAGGTGTGTTGCCAGATTACACGGAATAACAGAAACAGCAGCCCAGACCCACGAAACTTTTTAAGGGCGTTGTGAAATTTGCACTTTTTTATACACACAATTAGCCAACATTTCTTTGTCGTTTAGGTTGCCCTTTCAAACCGTTCCCAGGGAGGTGGAACAGGCTTTGGAGTTTATCCACAAGGTAAGTCCAGTTTTTGTATAAAGCGATAGTTGAACGAGTTATCAGTTATCTTCTACCACAATGTCTGCTCTCCAGTAGTTTGGTGATCTCGCATCGCCAAATCAGCTGGGTCGTCTTTGCTGTAAACGTCAATCCGTTTTCCTGATTGGTCAGCTAGTTCGGCTGACCGATCACTCGTGGGTTATCGACTTATTTGGATGTATTTAGTTGACCCCACCTTTTTGACATGCTTCCAAAGTGTAGTTATCCACCCCTACATTCTCAGATCATCAGCGATTAAAACCGTGGCAGCTAGAATCACAGTTTAACATGTACGCCGTCTTTAAATTTGAAAATGAGATTTTTTGCAAACCTTCGAAATCAAGGAGAATCAGAAGTACACTACGAAGTCTTTCTGCTCTCTGAAGCAAACAGTTATTACCACACATGATAGCTGTCGATGTAGGGTTGCTTACTCTGATGAAGAACCGTCAAATAATCTGGAAGGTAGACTCTAATCGAAGTACCGCACACATTCGGTCAGGCAGCGTGAAAATAAACTGACTGAAATAAAACGATGATGTCTTGTATCTCACGACAGATTTCCAGGAACAGTGATGATCCTCATCATAACTCCTTTCTGAGTGAAAGAAAGTGCATGATTTTCTGTACAGACCGGCAGATCCTAACAGCATTGTTATCATCAATAGTAATACCAAAGAAGAATGCTGGTGTAGATGTAAAGCACTACTCATAAGGTTAATTCAACAATCAACAACTGGTTTCGTCCTTCTTGGGGCTCATCAGGTAGGAGCAGTCCCCGACTTTCCGTCAACCTTATTTTGAATTTGAAAACCTAAATTGGACAGATTTCAACAAATAAACTCATTTGCATATCACTCTGGTTTTGACGGGAGACACACCTCAGACCTAGCTGAATTTCTCGTTTGTGATGTTTCTAAGCACTGAATGTGCTGCACTAGGCCGCTCCATGTTTTAGTCGGTAAGACATTTGAGATATCACGTTACATTGTATAGACGTAATACATCACTCATAAAGGAACTCTTCGACAGACCACGACCAGTTTCGCCTTTCTTGGGGCTCATCAGGTAGGCACGGTCCACGAGTTCTCGTCAACTCCGTGTTCTACTTGCACGAAATTAAGAGTAAGAACATCATAAACGAGATATCCAGCTGGGTTCCAAGTGGGTCTCCGTCAAAACCATATTGATTTGCAAATGAGTGTAGTTGATGAAAAGTGATGTTGCTTTGCCGCCGTATGACCATACCAATTTATTGAACAAAGCCGTGTCGAGAAAAAAAAGAAAGAGGGACAGCAAAGAGGACCCAGAACTAGCCAAGCATTCGAGGCACTTACAACTTCAACACTCAACTAGACAAACTGGATAGAAACTAATAGTAGATGTCACCAAAAATCAAGTTCAAAATCTTGAGGGAACAGTACTTTGGTCAACTTACGTGAAACCACCAAAAGTGGGAAACTTGCATCCAGGGTTGATTTAGCCGCTTCAACTGAGCACTCTTGTGGTTTGCCGAACCGTACTGGCGCTGAGCGTGGATGACGTTTTCACTTCGATTTCTCTACTCATGGCTTAGAGTTTACATCAGGTTATTTATGTGGTCCCAGACGTTTCCACAAGTGTATATGGCAGTGTAATTCTTGAGATCTCATTTCCCGAGGCCAGGAAACGTGTTGGTTCATTCTCGTTTTTTAAGCCAAACTGACGATCCAAAGCAGCACTTGCAACTGAAACCTAAGCCTTCTCTGTAGTTATTATGCCCATATCTTTGATAATTCCAGTAGGGTGAAATGGAAGTCATTGTGAGGATCGACGATAAAATAGCTCTCCTACCGGGGCTTGAAAGACAATAAGTTTTCGTTCATGGCCTTCCGAATCTCTTCATTCTCCATTGGTTCAGAATTTTTGCGTCTTTCAAGTGCGCTCCATGTTCACACCCAAATTAAACGTCGCTGTGTCACACAACATACATTCTCCATCAAACCGAGTGTTTCCTCAGTTGTTACTACTGATCAGGTAGTGAGCAGTAAACACACTGAAACTGCGAGTTACTTATTATTGTTACTTGTTGAAGACATGTTGAAGAATACGAGCACCGCTTCCCCCGTCACATCACACAGAAGCCAACAGTTGGCTTCTGTTCCTCTTCGCCAATTTTCACCTTTCCTATTTTAGGCCAAAGTAAGATGTCCACAGATTCTCGGTTTGATTTTGATGAAGTTTCGCGACTTTTGACTAAAATCCAACAGAAAAACAGCAGCTAAGGGTAGAACACAATTTTATGCTTGTCTACTTCCAGTTGTTCATAAATCGCAACACAGAAAACCTCGTGTGGTCGAGAAAGCATTCTAGTGATGGGTTTCGATGTGAAAGACGCAAAGAACAGTGAATATCAGTGAAACTGAGCGAGGAAAGTCAAACGGATGGGCCCTTTGGTATTTGTATTTAGGCGATTGAAGTACAGAACTAATAAATGTTAAAAATAAAAACATATCAGCTGATTTCCCTCCTGTGCCTCATGGAGAATGCGCTCACCGAGGAGTGGAAACGCTTAGCGTGACCCTGCGCCATAGCAACCACTTCCGTCTTTGGTGCAAATTTGAGTTCACAGAAAACATATAACGTTTAAGCAACCATCCGCTAATCTCAAAAGCAGCCTGTTTTTCAAGGCCTATCTTCTTCAAAACGAACACGTCACGGAACTGTTTGGTTCCGCTGCTGGATTTCCAGTTCCTTGCCATTACAAGTAAGTAAGCTGGACACTGAAACAGAGTTACGATGCACGGCTCTTTAACATGAGTATTACCGCTCATGCTCTTTCATGTGGACGAACTTATCGCAGTGTGGGGCAGATTTATGAGGGCCAATCAAACCCAGTGGCACATGGAGGTGTTAAAATGCTGATTACTGGAGATATTTCTAGTATAGGTTTCATCCTATAATTGAATGAATTGCGTTGCGAAAGGACAAGAAGCAATGTACAGCTGTTTCATCCACTTTGGGAGATATCAGCGATGCGCACCTCGGTGCAGCTTTACTCCACTTGCAGGGCCAACTCCCAACTGAAAATTCCAAATCTCCTCAAACTACTAGCAATCTGTAAGTAGCTCAGACGAAGAATAGGATTCCCCCTACCAGTGGAGCCTGCATCTGGAGTGTCGTCACTCGAGGGACAAGTCAACATTTGACCACGTGATGTGGTTTCCGTGAATAAACCATGAGAGGCGCTATATCCTGTTCAGATGAGAGTCAGTATCAAAGATGACTGACCGCTCGTGATCGAACGGTTAAGTATTCAAACTACTGTTTGGGAAGTCGCGAGCTCCAGACTACCTGGGGTTTTGTGAGATGAGCACTACTGACGATTCCCAATAAGGATGGAACAGCTTCTCGTCCTTCCTGTATAGATTCTTTTTACTTACAGAGCAAAATCTCCATTTACAAAGCTGACTTCGTTCAAACAGTGAATTCCTTTGGGCCATCATGGGGAAAAACAAATATTGATTTGTGACACACTATCCTGGGAGCATTTGTGAATGTACGGATTACTGCTTAGACTTGCGAAATATTCTCGCAGTGACCATCTTTCCGAAAACCTATATTTTGGCATTACAAAGTAGCAGTCGCTAAAAATAGAAGCAGTACCAGAAAGTTTGGACAGCGAAAACCGACTGGTTACTATGGTGGCACCACAACTCAAAATAAGGACTGAATTTGTTTGGTTGTATGAACCACGCTAGTGTATTTTACCTGGAAATATAATTTTAGAAAATCCCGTACAAATTACCCACCTAAGCCCACTTTGTCCTTCCAGTTGTCGCAAAGTACTCACGGCCAAGAATAAACAACAAAGAACATCAAAGGCTCTGCCAGAAAATACAAGATCGCGGCGGCCGGTGAGTCTTAGGAGGTTGTTTATCCTTGCCACCTTTATTCAGCATTAATTCACGAGACTGGCAGAACAAACGCACATTTCAGAGGAATTAAATTGCAGTAAAATGTTCTGCCTTTAAGGGAAAAGGTCGCTTAGTAGTTACACTTTGGAGATTCTCAATTTTTGACGTAACATTACTTGAGTCTGGGGAACGGTGGTTTGAGAAACGCCTCCAAAGAAGGACGATTTTGAGACCTGTATTATTTGTAGTGTACATGCGCGACCCACTCGAGAATGCCATCTCTCCATACACACAACAATTAACTAGCAGTTAGTTGACCCTAAGTCTGTGAATTTCATCTTATTTTATTAGCTGAATAAAGCAAAGGGAACCGAATTTTGCTCATTCAAAGCAAACCAGGAAATCGCATGTGATCCTTGGATTGTGGTTTGACCCAGACTACTTCATTTTTCTGGCCTTCTTTGTGATTGAGGAGTAATTCTTCTGATAGATGCTCCAAGGGTTTCATTTCCCGGATGGAACAGCGAGTTACGACAGACTAGCCGGTTGGTTTTGGATGCTGAAATCGCTGGACGTTGTCAGGTACGAAATATGGAACAGCGAGTTACGACAGACTAGCCGGATGGTTTGGGATGCTGAAAACGCTGGATGTTTTGTCGGGTACGAAATTAGGTTGGAGAAAATCTACGTCAGGGCGAAATAGAATAAAGATCTTAGTGTTCATTGAAAGACTGTTTATGCAAGAGAATAATGAGTATATTGGCCAAACGTTTAGGCAAAAGCTGCCTCCAGGATCCCTCACAACATTGTCCCTAGCTTACAACTTCTAGAACTTCTTCTACGGGAATTAGTCGATACACTTTGACTCTGTTTGTTTGAAACCTTCAATGAGGCATAACCTGGAGGAAAGAAACAATGTTAGTTCTACAGAAAGATACTCATCAGAAAGAGGTAGGAAGGGAATGCTTTGCTTCAGGTTTGCAATATGAAGTTTATTTGATGTGCTGCGTGACGTTTTTGTAATTTACTTCTCTTACCTTTTCTCACGTCTGTAGCTTGTGTTACGCAACCGTACGCCACGTGAGCTCGAAACCAGCCGAAATAGATGCATATCAGGGTGAAGTGTTTGAAGTAAGTCTTGGCAAATCATCCCTCCTCATGAACTCATAATGCTTGGTTTTGGTGACACTCATAAGGCTTCACAAGCAGCGGTTTTTTGTATTGGGAAGGACAGGAATGCAAACGACGTGGGTCCAAAATGGATCCATTACCACTGCCTGACCCTCATCGACAAACAAACGACTGTCTGGAAAACACTTATAATATCATTCGGTAGAAGTGCGGGGTAAATTTGAGAATGAAGGGATAGCCAGGCTGGTTGCACTGAACAGATTTGTTGCCCTTGGACAGTAACCCATGAGTAACACAGCCGAATGACTCTTTAATCCCCTGCCGGAATACGCTCAATGTTATGGTTGAAGTTTATCAACCGGGTTTTATCCCAGTGCGCCATCTATTAACCTGGTAACATCTCCATTCGGCTAACACGGATAGTGTTTCCTCGTAAGTTTGGACGAACCTCTGGCGAGTTTGACTCGTTCTGTTTGGGCAAAGAACACAGAAGGTTATTCATTCATGCACAGTCGATGCCTAACTGGCACGCTGATGACGAAGATACAGTGGGTCGGAAAACATGAAGACAAGCTTTTTGCAAACTGCTATCGCGTGTTCCCTTAGCTCGATTCCTTGTTAGACGGATCTCCTGTTGACGAAAATGAGAGATAGACAATTTGCAATTGCAATTCCGAATTCCCTCTGAGAAGACAGTGAGCTGAATTGTTCCCTTTGGGAGAGGCCAGGTGGTTTTTGCTTCCTCATCTGTGGTGATCGTGCATTCGGGTGTACCATACCGCTGTGCACATCGCTGTAGGGATTTCGTACAGAGCATGAAATATGAAGTCACTATTTCACTTATGAGTTTTGCACTAAGTGAAGCAAACCCGCACTTTCTTGTTTCGCCAAAAAACGCCATGTGTTAGGGCTTATGCTGGAGACTCCAGGATCACTTTTTCTATCCGGCGGTGATTTTAAATATACATTTTGAATAGCACTCTTTACAGGTGTAAGTCGGGTTGTCAGCCGGAGGCTGGCTTCAGTCAACTGGCACGGTCAGTTTTGGTGGACTCTGACTTGAACAGTTCACGAACAAGGAGCAGACGTTTAGTGAGCCTGAAAAGTTCTCCTTTCAGCGGGGTGCCCTCGTTTGTTTGACTGAATCATAACCACCGAAGACCCGATACTGAGTGGATAACTATGCACCAATCCTTCCTAATAACTAGTATAATTCGATTACCTTGACGACACACTCTCCATACGCGTGTAGTTGACTGTATTGAAAGTATAGATATAGGCGTAAGCTTGTATATTAGATACTAAATTCGAAGGTTGTCTGTTTGTTTTGTTACGCGTGCTGTGAATTAATGTGGATGTCCGTTTACAATCCAAAGCGTCACAGTTAATCTACTGGGAATAAACGTATTGTTGAACTGTCAGACTTCACACACTGTCGACTACGAAGGGTTGTATTACAGGGCCAATAAAAAGAAAAGTACGGTGGTTTTATTGCAAACTGTTACTCAAATTGTCCTTCCTGTAGACGTATGTGCCGCGTTAGTTGTGCAATATACCAGCACTTTGTATCTCATGTTTCGGTTCCACTTTCTTTGTGCAAAAAGGATTCTTTGATCAAGTCACTTCACGTGCTTCTCCTTAGTACTGTTAGGTTGGATTCTTATACTCGCGTTTGTCATGGAAGATAAGTGAAATGAATTTAATGACAACTAATTAGGCTATGCATCTGAATGGCGAACAAAAAGCACAGTGCACAGACTACTGTTCGACAACTATCTGACTCATGCTGAACATTTTGAATACCCGTGATCCTTACGGATTTTCATGATATTCTTACTTTCAAACAGATTGTAGATAACACTGAAGGAGACTGGTGGACCGTCACAAACAATGTCGGAGAAACAGGGCAAGTGCCAAAGTGGAAACTACGTCCTTTCTACCTGTCAGCCAGTATGCTCGATTTGCGTCAGACCGAACCAACCGTAATGAATTCTACCGTACCCAAGGTGCAATCACGTCCTTATGTCTATAGAGGGTCCTCACACAGCCGCCCAAAGAGCGAGTATGAACCATGGGAACAGGAGAAGCGCTTCAGTTTCCCTCGTCAGAGCCTGTCTAAAAGCCGATCAATGGGGTCACGGGTTAATCTAGTGCCATCTCATCGATATGGAGAACCAGATGAGATGGACGATGTTCACCCGATGATGCTTTACTTACCCTCGGAAGAAGTGAAACGGATTGGCGATAGCAAATCATCGGTTCCGATAATTCTCGTACCCTACGAACGTCATTCACGTTCAAAAGAACGTAACTACTCACCTGGACGTGGGCATTCCCAAACGCGCTACAGAACACCAGACAGATCTCCACATCGGAATGAACGTGATGTTTCACCTGTTCGGAGGCGGTATTACCCAATTCGGCCGGGCCAAACTTACAGACCAACCATCAAACTGGATTCTCCGGAGCCGAGACGACCAAGTAGAAGATACTGATCCCTAGATAGCACAGCCTGCTTTTTCGCCTGACCCTAAACCTGACCTCCCATTTCAAAACCGTCGACAAAATATCCAGGTAGTTTCTAACTGAATTCCATCAAGACCCCTACGGACTACTGATAATCTTTTCATCCCTATTCATACTTTTCTGTATGCGTACTTTCCGACTCAATCATTTTATATCTGTTCTAAACCCGTCCAATTCCAAGCATAACAAAACTGTATCGTGAACTATTTTCTTCCTTTCTTTATTCAGCAAGCACCAACATCATAAATTATATAAAAAAATCCTTGGGTAAATGGAAACCGGAAAGTGAGGGACACCTCATTCGGAGTAAGGTTCGTGCACTATGGCCAATTCCAACAGATGGTGAAGTAGAGCGCTCCTGGTCCATGCGGTCGAACAACTGTTGTGTTCATAATGTGCTCGAGCAATGTCTGACTAAAAGTATCCTCATATTTTAAGGAATATGAGATTTGCCGTTGGATATTTGGTTCATTTGTATGTTGAGAGAGTTGGTGTGGACCAAAAATGTAACCCCCTCCCTGAAGAAAGCCGTGGGAAACATAAAAGACTTGATTTTCCCCCACTGGAGGTTGTTTCCGAACGGTTTCCGGAACGGTTTATTAACCCAATCACATCCTATTAGCTGACGATGCGTTGAAGCCACACGTCGATTGATAGTCTTCCATGTGGGTGAAACGGATCACCAGCAAATTTAAAAAATTTTAGGTAACATCAGACAAGTTCGCACGAAGATGCTCTACCTGAGCTCTAGCAGTATGGAATTCAAATCCAGACAAGCCTTCCAAGGATTCTGCCATTATTGAGTCTTTTTTAACCAGGCACGTCTGCACTTTGTGTGAGCACAACTTAAGTGCTCAAGTATGACCATATTTGGTAAAAAAAAACTCAGACTGATCAAAAACCATCCTAACTCGTCTCCAATAGGCGCAGTATCCGACAAAAACTACTTCATTTTTGTAGAATTGCATGACTCTCGCTTGAACTATCGTCCTCCTGTCCTTGAGCAATCGTTCTAGTGAGTCCACCCCAACACCTGAAACATAAATGCGTCCAGCAGGTTTCAAGCGTTTATGGCGCTTCCTCACTTAGAAGTCCTGACTAGAGGGCCAGTCGATCGACACAATCACGGTGTGTTTTACTGAGTCGTCGTCCGAGGCATTGGGCGTTCCGCTCACATCACTCAAGCACAAACGTGTTTACCTGTTCAGACGTAAAAATTCGGATGACTTTAGCCCACGCTGGTGGGGTAGTGGTATCACGCTCGCCTCGCGTGTCAGATGTGCTGAGTTCAAACCCCGGCACGGTAATTGGGTATGCACTTCTCGCGTGTCAGATGTGCTGAGTTCAAACCTCGGCATGGTAATTGGATATGCACTTCTGATGGGCTCTAATAAGAACAAAACTCGGGTTCGTGGCTCGACTCACTAGGACAGTTGCTCGGGGACAGGAGGACGATTGTTCAAGCGACATTCACGTGAGTACGTGTTCTACTTCAGTTTTGCCTTATTTCCCCCTTGAAGACAATATCGATTTTCCCCCGTTTTTTCACTGTGCATAAGCGAGCTTACCTGAATTCGTTAGATGAATTGAGAAGGTTGAAACACCAACAGATACTGAAAGAATCGTCTTTCGTGACTCCCTTTTTGGAGCCCCAATACCCGTCCAGTCAACAAATTTGAGAACTGGTCAGTGGTGCCAATGAAAGAACGGGTAATCTTTCTTCCAAAGCATCTGGGCTTGGCAACTTATTTTTCTTGGTTCCAGAAATTTACATATTTCTAGCATCGAGGAGGTGCCCCACCCAGGGAGGCGGGGCTTCCAAATCATCACTTTCAAGAGTGATGGTTTAACTGCGGAATGATTAGTGCTGAGGATTTTGAAGCACATTGCACAATAAAAGGCAGGATATGTAGATTTTGGAGAACTGGTCAGTGGTGCCAATGAAAGAACGGGTAATTTTTCTTCCAAAGCATCTGGGCTTGGCAATTTATTTTTCTTGTTCCAGAAATTTACATATTTCTAGTGACTCTCTGGTAATTCTAGCGCGTCGAGGAGGTGCCCCCCCCA